CCTAATTCCATCTCTGCCTTGGCCTTCCTGACTGCCCCCTCTAAGGAGAGGCTAATTGAGGTGTCAGGAGCAAGATTTAACATTTGCAAGGGCCAACAAGGCCCAGCAAATGACACTCCTGGAACAGAGCTTTCAAATTCAGAACCCTGAACCAATTCCAGACTCAACAGCAGGACAGATGCCTGATTTGCCAGGACAGGAAAAAAGTTTTAGTAATGACTTTTTACCATCTTGTACCATCTACACTTTTCCCAGAGCCTTACGAAAGGACTTTGATCCTGAAAGAATGCAGAAAAGGAAAATTTTCTTGCCATTTTCCACTTGGTCTAATAAAAGGTATCATTTTGGAACCAAGAGTTCTAGTTTTTTGTATGTCTTAGTGATGATGAGTTACTTCATAGAGTTACTTCATAGTGGCTCCATGCATTTATTCAGGAAAAATGCCCTTCTTTGATGAAGTTATCAATTGTGTCTAACCACAAATTAAATTGGCTGAGGACTAAAAAAAAAACCATCTCAGAATATTGATTAACACCCCGACCTACCAACCAACCAACCAACCAAAAACCAAACTAAACCAAAAACAAAGCAGTCTTCATCCTCACAAAATGAAGATCTTGGGGATAATCAGCCTGAACAACTCATATTGTTACATACATTGAGAATTCATGGAGAATTGACACATTAGAAAGTTCAAATGGGGATCTGTCACCTTGTGCTTGACTGGCATTTGGAGGATTGCTGGCTAAATTCTCCCCAAGGTCAGCAACTAAAGACTATCTGCACAAGACTTGTTAAAATTTGCCAGTGCTTTCCAATTAATAGTGTGCATTTTACACTAGACACTTTACAAGGATAGAAAGCCTACAAAAGCACTGTTGATGGTATGGGAGTGATTGTAGAGATTATCTACAATCTGATGATACTGCAACAGTCTCAGTGAAAGTCCGGGTGGTCTAAAAACAGAGCTGGATCTATGCAAGGACAGAACTGAGAAAAAAAATGCTTTAAAAACTATGGAATCTCTTAGATAATATAATAATGGATCCGTACATCAAGATTTTCAGCTGAGCTCAGAACAAGCAGGAACATCTGATCTGTGACTTATAGATCATAGAGAAAAGTTCTTTCTTTCCCTTCTTGCATTTTAAGTAATTCGTGAAAGAGACTATTCACCTGTTGTACAATATTAATGACAAATTGTAAGCAGAAGTCACAGAAATTGGGCTAGTAAAAGTTAGAATTTAAATTTGTAGACACTAATTCAGCAAGAAAATTTAACTCATTGGTTAGTGGACACCTTTAAATGTTACATGCTGAAACAAGTTGGTGGAATATAACTACATTTATGGGTACCTACAAAAAATTAGCAGAAAATACTCAGACAGAAAATTCTTGGAGCGTGTTCCCATAAGCAGGAATATGGCGTTTTCCCAGGGCCAAACAGCAGTGGCACAATGTGTGCTGCTACTTGTCCTTGGGGAACACCTATGTCACACGTGCTCTGGTGCACAGCATGTTGCCCCAAGTGGGGTAGGGGAGGCTGGGGCTAGCAACCGTGCTGGCCTCAGCAGAATTACCTGCAGGCCTCCAGGAACTGCAGCCTCAGCAGGGAGCCTGGCTGGCAGCTGGAGTATGGCTCTGGCCAACCAAACTCATTTTGGGCAGTGTGGGTTGCCACCATGTGTGCCATCCCACTTGTTTTTTTACCCTAGGATCTCCTGATATCAAAACCCAGCCCACGCATTGCAAATTAGCAGCACAGGGAATGCCTGCCTCTGTGGTGGGTAGTACCATAGATGGGTCTGTGACACCTCATGCTGCACGTCCCCACTTGTCTGGACGCACCCTTGGAGTCTTGTTTAATTGTGGAATTGCAATTTTTTTCTTTAATTCTAAACCCTGTATAATAATTCACTTAATCTAGCTAGAAGTTTACTCACAGGGCACATCCAGTTGAGTGCAGACATTTGTTTCCCTGGGGACAAGTAGCTACTTGTCTCTGGGGAACAACTTTGCCATGCGCGCTCTGGTGTGCAGCAGGTTACCCCAGGTGGGGTAGAGGAGGATGGGGCCAGCAACTGTGCTGCCCCCAACAGCTTTACCTGGGTTCCTGGGGGTCTCCAGGAGCTACAGCCATGGCAGGAAGGCTGGCTGGCAGCTGGAGTGTGGCTCTGGCTGGCCAGAGACTTAGCAGGCTATGAATTTGGGCAGCACATGCTGCCGCCACATGCATCACCCCACTTTTTTTGACCCTGGGATCTCCTCAATTGTTTTTCCCCCATTAGAAATGGAACCATTTCACTGAAACATTTTTTTGCAAAAGACAGCATAACCAAACAAGCAAACAACCAAACCCATACAAACTTGGAAGGATTTCAGGAATGCTGAAACATTTAAAAAAGAGAAAGGTAAAATAGCAGAAGACTTCAGTTTCCTGTCAAAAGATATTTAAAATCTTTATAATTTAGAAATGGAAAGTGTGAAAAAAGAAAATTAAATCCACATTTTAGAATTAGCATTTATTGAGTCCGACTATAGGTCCATCTTATGCAGTATCCTGTATCACAGTCAGAGAGGGACAGTGAACTGGATATGACCAGTTTTTTTCTACTGTTTCTCTCTTGCTTCCAGCCTTCAGCATTCAGTCTAGAAAGCTCAGAGTTAAATCCCCAACTCTTGTGCTCAATAGCTACTGACGCCCCTTTCCTCCAGTAATTTGTTCAATCCCTGTTTGAATCTGGGTAAGCTATCAGCTTTAATAGCATCTGGGGACAACATGTTCCACACTTAAATTAGTGTGAAAAAGAACTTCCTTTTGTTAGTTTTAAACTTATTACCTACTAGTAATGAGTGGCTAATAAGTTTAAAACTTATTTTACGTTAACTCATTTTATGACCCCTAATTCTTGTGAGAGCGAGCAAATAAATCCCTATTTATTTTCTCCTCACCATTTAGTATTTTGTAAACCCTTATCATGTCTCCCCCCAAATGTCTTTCTTCCAAGTTGAATAGGCCTAGCCCAGGGGCAGGCAATTATTTCAGGTGGAGAGAGACTTACCAAGTTTTGGCAAGTTGTCAAAGGCCACATGGGTAGCCCTGCCCCTTGGCAACTAGGGTGCAGGGCACGTCATCTTGGGACTGGAAGTCCCACCCCCTACCCCCCAACCTTTGCCACCAGAAGTCCCTCCCCTTGCCCCTGGAAATACTCTTTTCAGCAAGGGGAGGGACTTCTCAGACCCAGAAAAATGCCAAATTATATTCTAAAATTTGAACATCTATAGTGTTCATTAGTTTGGTTTAAAAAAAAAGTGTCCAGATTTACATGCATTTGTGTAGCATACACAGAGATAATCACACAATAGCTAAGATGCACATGCTTACTGCCCAGTAAGCTACTCTACTCTGCAATAAAGCGTCTTGTATAGAGGCACCCACCAGGGCCTGATGATTTGGTTGTTTAGTTATACATTTCCTTTACAGCCTCATCTATTGAAACCTCAATGTCAAATTGTGCTGATCTGGTTGACCTAATACATGATTTTTAGAAGCTTCTTTTGCAGGAATTTTCCTTTTGTTTTGGTCTGACAATAACAGCAGCTTTGAAATTGTGATTTTTTTTCTGAAGTCAGATACCTAGTCCCCACAAAGGTTTACATCTCTTGCTTCTTTATGTCTCTGCTTAGTGCTTTTTTTGTTTAGTTTTGTTTGTTTCCTTCTTTAGAAAGTAAGTGCCCTTTGTATGCGAAACATCCACAGCCACCCAGGAAGTGAAGAATTGTGGGACTGTGTATATCTTTTGTTGGTACACTCCTGGTCAAGTTACAATCTGTAAATCTTAAAAGAGTATCTTCACAGTTATTTGATAAAACTGGTTTGTCTGTTCCTTCCATGTTCCGTGTAACAAAAACCTATTGATACCACATTAAAAAAAGAATATTGTAAAATTTGTATTATTGTGGTAGTGTTAAGAATCTTTGGGTAGAATTTTATACGTCTCACCGTTTAAAAAAATAAATAAATAATGCATAGGCAACTTAAGAAAGATGATTCAGTTTAATATAGCAGTATAGCCAGAAACCCACATTGTCAGACTTCATTTAACAGTTCCCAGAAGTCAATTAAACTTAATGCTAAAATAAACACCTCTGCTCCCCCACCACCACCCTGACTGTATAGGGGAGACAATATTGTTAATATCGGGTTTTACTGGATCTATGCAACTTTAGTTCTGTACGAGATATTTCATAAATAGTTTCAATTAAGTGACAGTGATCATTTGCACTCCATTCCAAAACCTTCAGAGCAACTTTGAACTGTGTTCAATATAATCATAGGAAGTAAAATATAAATAAATGTGAAATAAGCATTTCCACAATTCTGACATTATTTTAGTAATGTCTTTTTTTTAAATTCTGTTTTAAAATAATTTCCCTTCAGCCCCAAAGCAAGAGTCAAATAAATTATGGGTTAATTTTTGTCATCTCTGAACATTTTGCTTAAGTGTTCAACTAGGGCTACAAGCTCAGGGTTCCCTCCAAGTAACTCAATTTGTCTATACGCTTCAGCTTCAAGCTCTTTCAGAGTTTTCCGTGTGTACTCAAAGGAACCCACAGTCTCAAGGTATTGTACACAATAGGTTTTAATGTCTACGTTTTCTGTCCTTTGACGTAAAATATTCTGCACCTGAGTGCTTTCAGGCCTGGACCAAATAGCATGAATAGTTGGAAATGAGAACTTGCCCTCAGTTAAGTCTTCACAAAAACTCTTGTTTTCACTATATTCTTTTGACCGTAAATTAGCATAGTCATCTCTTATTTGGAAGAGGAGGCCTAGAGTATTCAGGAGTGGTTTTAAGTCTTTGTTATAGTCGGAGAACAACTGCATAAGGCCCACAGCTAGTCCAAAAAGACCACCTGTCTTTTGTAGTACCATGGCTTTATACTCTTCCTCTGTGGGACAGGTATAATTATCCCTCCAATAAATATCCAAGCCTTGGCCCTGATGAAGTTCCAGTAACTGGCGGGTAAATACTTTTACTGCATCTGGATGATCAAGTGTTAAAACTTTCTCTAGGCCAAGGAAATATACATAATTAGCACAATTTATTACAGCTGGAACTCCATAGATGCTGTGGGCCACTGGAAAGCCTCGCCGTAGCTTTGAGTTATCTTCAATATCATCTATAAGCAGGCTGGCATTGTGCAACATCTCTGTCACTTCAATGATAACCTAATATAAAAGAGAAAAAAAATAATTAATTCTTGAGATGGAAAATGGGTTCTAAATTTGCAGAATATCCTGTATGCCTCCAACATACATCTCTGGCAGTATACTTGATATTTTTTAAGTTTAGAGGGAACCCAGTGCAAACTTTAAAAAAAAAAAAAAGTCTTTTGTTGTATATAACACTGTCTAAGATCAACTGTTGATGTCTGAATATTGTAAAATACCGAGTTCCACTGGGATTGTCATGTGGATACCAAAGTCTCCATTCTAGTCCTAAATAGTCACATAACAGACGTGATACAACATTATAAGTCAGAGCAATGGCACAGAGTGGGGAAGGGAAATAGATTTCAAGGCAAAACAAATAAAATCCAGCAAAAAGCCCCAGACATGTTTCGGGAGTACTTAAAGTCTCTGGTCCAAGTTGATCCTCTTTGATATCATCCAAATTGATATCACAGACATTAGGGCTGGAAGGGACCTGAACTCAATGATCTTGCAAGGCCCCTTCCAGCCCCAATGTCTATAATATCTATGACATCTATGACAGGAAGACAAATCAACCAACAGTTCAGTCAGTTTTATTCTAACGTGTACACCAAGAATCTGAACGTTACTAATGAGGAAATGGATAGGTTCTTGGACTTTGTACTCATACAACAAATTTCAGAGTTGGAGAAGAAAATTTTAGAGGCTCCTTTGCTGTTAGTTGAAATAACTTTGGCCTTAAAGGGCATGAACAATAATAAGTCTCCAAGCAGGGATGGATTTCTATGGCATTTTATATGCATATTCCCAAGAGAGGTGTATATAACTGATACTTTATTATGGTTGGATATACTTTTTAGTATATACACAAGTAACTTTCCTGTACATTCTCCTAATTCCCAGTGATCTTGGTGTAATCTTTATAAATTACACCTAAATCTGTGGCAGCTACAACTCCTGTGTTAATTTGTACTTCTCATCTTAGTTCTTAACAGCTCCATTTTCTAACTTGAGAGTGATTCTTAAAAAGGTGTTTATGTTAATGGCTAAAAGCTGATAAGATATAGTTATCCATAAATTCTCTCACTTCCCCCTACCCACTCTATTATTAACACCCACTATTTGGAGCTAGTTTTAACTGCCATCCCTGAATGTAAAAGCCACTGAAGTAATAGTTGAGGGTAAAAAACACAAACAGGTAAGATTAGGCGATATGCAAAGACCTCTACAAATCAGCTCTTGGAGTTTCCAAATGTTGTTCTTAAGACAGACATACATGGAAAGGTTATCATCCCCCTTCCCCCCCAACGTTTCTGTTCATCTTTAAAACTGTGAGCTCTTTATAGCAAGGACCATTCTTTTTGGAGCATCTGGGAAGTTCTTAGCACATCACAGAATTAACGAACAACTTTTTATCTAGAGAGCTCTAGCCACTAATATATTTTGCTATCTGACAGTTTTGTAAAGTGGATTCTTACTTTACAGACAAGTAAACTGAAATATTTACTATGTTGTTAACATTTCTAAGGTCTGCACTGAATCTTACCCATTTGTCAAATACTAAACCACTGCTTAAGTAGTAAAACCACAGGTTGGCCAACCCTGCTGTAGCAATATTTATCCAAGAAACAGCTACATTCTGTGTAAGATTTCTTAGATTCTTCTTTTGAACTTCACATAAAGGGCATGAAGTGTTTTGGTTAAATAATGTCTTAGCAAAACTGTTCGTGCAAACTGAAATATTAATTTGCTTCACTATAAATGCATTAGTTATCTGGTTGAGGGAAAAAAACAACAACAATAAAAACCCACCAAGTACAGTTTCATAGTTTGTAGGGTCAGAAGGGACCTGAGCAGATCATTGAGTCCGACCCCCTGCCATGCCAGGAAAGAGTACTGGGGTCAAACGACCCCGGCAAGGTGTTCATTCAGCCTCCTCTTAAAGACCCCCAGGGTAGAAGCCAGCACCACTTCGCTTGGAAGTTGGTTCCAGATCTTAGCTGCCCTGACAGTGAAGTAGTGCCTCCTGATGTCTAATTTGAATTTACCCTCTGCCAGCTTGTGACCGTTATTCCTAGTCACTCCTGGTAGTGCTCGGGGGAACAGGGACTTCCCCAATGCCTGCTGATCCCCCCTGACTAGTTTGTAACAGGCCACAGGATCCCCCCTCACCCTTCTCTTGTGGAGGCTGAAGAAGTTCAGGTCCCTGGGCCTCTCCTCGTAGGGCCTGCCCTGCTGTCCCCTGATCATGTGAGTGGCCCTGCTCTGGACCCTCTCCATGTTGTCCACATCCCTCTTGAAGTGCGGCGCCCAGAACTGGACGCAGTACTCCAGCTGCAGCCTGACCAGTGCTGCAGAGAGGGGGAGGATCACCTCCTTGGATCTGCTTGAGATGCATCTGTGGATGCATGACAAGGTACGGTCGGCCTTCCTGACTGCATCCCCACACTGCCGGCCCATTTTCATCTTTGCATCAATGATGACTCCAAGATCTTTTTCTGAAACCAGTTCTATCACTGGCTTTTTTATCACCTACTTTTGGACTATATTCTTTAGTTCTCCCATCAGAGATCTTCCCCTCCCCCACTCCTTAATTCTCTTGTTGGTATACAACAAACTTTGATAACTTTAGTCATGTAGACAACTTAGTAATTTATACAAAACAATTTTGACTCAAGTAACTCTTGGTCAAGAATACTGCAAGATAGTGTCTTGCCCACAGCAGATCTGTACAATTGGACTTAAATTTAATTTAAAAAAAAAAATCTACAACAGCTACTTTTCCAATAAGCACAGAGCCATCAGTTTTCAATTAACAGAATTAAAAGCACATTTGGAATTCTGTATTACACACAAATATAGAAAATTTATGCAATTTCTGCATTTGAAAATAAACGGCATAGCTTTTTATATGTCATTAACTATGAAGTTATGCCAGGTAACTGGACCTCCGTGCTAGGTTTTAAAAAAAAAAACAAAACACATTAAAGAGGAAATGTTCTGCCTTCTTCCCAAGTGGTTCTTCTGAAAAGCAGCAAGGACTTAATTGTGTTGAACTAACACCTGGGAGTCCCCATCATAAAGCAGGACCAAGCATCAGCAAAGAAGGTCCCTGCTCAATTTTACAGCGTTGTTTATTGAACTTCAATTCTGCTTTACATTAGATAAGACCTGTGCAGGAAAAAAAAGAGCTTGCATTTCATACAAGTGTTCAATTCAAACTGTGTGCATGACAATGACAGAACTTTTTAACGTTGTTAAACACTAAAGCCAGTTACAGAGTAATAGTATTTTGCCCC